ACCACGGTGGTCCCCACTTGCGACCGGCGAATCAGCGATTGCCATAAAATCCGCCGTCTTTCTCCTCCTACCAATTCTCGACGCGTGAACTGTATCACTGCATCCTCCCCGTGTATATCGACGGCTTCAAATTTCTAGCGTTGGTGACTTCAGACTTGTGACGGGATCATATTCACTTATCACTCCCGTGACGCAAGCCCTCTCTCTTTTGTGAATTGTGCCTTGTGAAGGGATTCGGTGCTTTCCGCCTTTCCCCCCTACCGTAATGAATTGCAATTTCTCTTATTGCTGATTGGCATCTTTCCCACCAGATTTAGGAATCACTAGCCTGTCATTGGGTCTGGATTCGGTCCAATGCAATCCGAATCCAACAGTGCTCCGATCCAAACAAATCAATAAATGAAAAAAAAAACAATTATTTATTCATTTGTTTTTTTGTGTCCACGAGATGGCCAAAAATAGTGATTTTAATCATCCGATAAGAATGCACGGTCCACTACTGAAACGATGGGTGCAAATTTGCCCTTATTATTGCTCAATATGTGATTTTTGCGTCAGGCTGCATGCAAAATTGCAAATGCAACCGCACGATTATTAAAAAATTTAAAAAGTCATTTTCAAGGGGTGGGACAAGAAAAACAGAAGCACGAGTATGTTGACTGAGGAACGAGCGGGCAAACTACAAAACTCAAAAGTAGACGGCTTCTCGATTATTATAGCCACGTGGTGTATTCCCATAGGACCCCCCTGGCGACATGGTTGGCCGACTCTGACACGTTCCCTCCGTGAGAGAGTGTTTGGAGACCGGAGGGTTCCTATTCTTTTTCGCTTTCTTATTTTTACAAAGGCCCCTGTAATATGGGGTCAGTGATAAATACCCCCTTGAACTTTTATTTATGATAAAGACCTTTTATTTTGTGACAAATTCCCCTTTCTTAAAATTCTCCCTTAACCTCTGAATTGCTTCAATACATTTTTGTAGAATTTTTGCTGGATTAAATATTTAGAGGTTGTTTGGTATCTATGGCGTTTATGAGATAAATGTTTTGTACAATTTTGTCTTGAAAAAAAAATAAAATCTGCTTTAAACATTTTGTATAATTTTTTTTACACCTCAACGCCATTAGGCGCCATATAAGCCAAATAGTGAAAAATGGGTCTTGAAAATTAAAAAAAAAAACGTCAAAATTTGTGTTTTTTAAATAAACGGTTCACAAGATTTTCGAGAGAGCCATTTATCAAATAACTTTTTAGGCATTTTTTTATTAAACGCATCTCCAATGCTGAGTTGGCATCGTTTCTTCCAAAAGCTACCAAACATCATCTAAATTAAATGGTAAAGATTTCTTTATGACATAAATTTATGGGTTCGTTTGGTTTTCTTGATTTATTGGAGAAAATAATAGATAATTTTTATATTTTAGGGTCCTTTTGATTCGTAGTTGGAATCGGAATCGAAATGATCTATTCCTATAGTCTATTTGGTTCAAACTGCGAATGAAAATTGAAATTGACATGAATGAGATTTCATTCTCAAGGGATGGGCAAGCCATTTTCTCAAATAGAAAAATGCCATTCAAGTAGGAATGGAAATTAGGTCCAACTAAATAGTTAGAACCAGAATAGTCCATTTTGATTCTGATTCCAGAACCCTATTCCTACAAATCAAGTGGGACCTTAAGTTGAAGAGATATATTCATATTAGCTTGTGGTACGGAAAAAAGGGAGGCACTTACAGTCCATTAAGATTTAAGAAAAAAGGGCAGGGAGAAAATTCATACGAGCATTGTGATAATTTAATACATTTTACCATTAGACTTAATAGTTAGGGGTATTTGTTGCAAACGCTCAGTTGAACTTTGAAAGGAGTACAAATATGTTTTGTACAAAACCATGTATTTTGTGAAATTTTATATGTATTTGTATTGTACTATTAATTAAGCATATGCATTATACGTGAGAAAATTTTCTTTATATTAATTACTTGAATTTTAGATATATCATAGTTAAGATTAAAAATTAACAAAAATAACAATATGATTAAAAATAAACTTAAATATTTATTATTCAATTTTGACATCATGGGTTTCTTTGAAAAGTTGGATCACTAACCCACCATGTAGATAAGAAAATAGCTTTGCTTTTGGATTAGTTTTAAATTATGGAGAACTATAGTTGGAGCCAGTTTTACATTTAAAATTAGGCTACAATTTGGTCCATAAATCAACAAAACTCTCACAACCAGCTCTACATAACCCTCGCTATGTCATTGAAGGCTTATGTGGTTGTTGCCAACATGGGACTCTTAATCCATGTCGGTCACAAGCTTATACTGAAATTGCCCTTTAATGTTAGGTGATTGGAAAAAAAAATGTTTTAGTTTCTCTCCCTCTCTCCCTCTCTCTCTCTCTCTCTCAATCTCCCTCACACTCTCTCACTCATAGTCATCTTTATCTGCTCAACAACTATGTGATTTGAAAATAAATAAAAATGGTTTTTGGCTACAGATAGAAAGATTGAGAGAGAACAATATATATATATATATATATATATATATATATATAGATAGAGAGAGAGAGAGAGAGAGAGAGAGAGAGAGAGGTTTTGATTTTGCTACAGACTGAAGCTGAGAGAGTGGGAAGGATAAAGGGAGCGGGAGATCGATAGATGACTGTGAGAGTGAGAGAGATGTGAGGGAGTGGAAAAGAAACTGAAAGCCTATTTTCAATATAGGTTTTTTTGCTGTGTCCAATATGGACTAAGAGTCCGATGTTGGCAACAACCACATAAGCCTCTGATGACATGGCGAGGGTTTTTATAATTTGAAATGTAAAACCCGTTGTGAGAGTTTTGTTGGTTTCGGGACCAACCAACAACCTAATTTTAAATGTACAACCGACTTTGGCTATACTTTTCCCTTTAAATTATATGCTTCATTTACATTATATAAAATATTTTTTACTTATCACACTTAATTTTTGTTTGTCTATGGTATCATTTCACTCAAACCACTAACCCACCATCTAAAAATAAAAATTGTTTGATTTTAGATTGACATTAAATTTTGTATTACATTTCCATCATTGATAAAATTATTTCCTATAAAACTTATTTTTTTTCAATATAATGAATGCACAATATTAGAGATGTACCCAATATTTTATTTTTTTATAAATATATAACATTAGATATGTGCCCAAAATTTTCTCTATCCTTTTTTTTTATTTTTGTGGTTTTTTGTATTTTCTGTTATTAAAAATTTTATTATTTGACTATGACATCATTTCATTTATAGATAGATTTTAAATTTGGCATTCCATTTTCATCACTAATAAAAATACTTCTTATATTTCATAGCTATTTATTTTAATTTTTTATTATGACATTATGACATTATTTATTAATCCATTTGACCCCAAATGGTCGAATTGCTTACCCACTACTGGGAGTGAAGAAAATGGTTTTGTTTTCAAATTACTTTATAAAATATTTATTTTTATACGATTAAAATTAATATTGTGGATTTAATTACAAGAATTTAATGATGGAAAAAATATATCTTAAATATAAGATTTAATGAAAGAGAATAGTAAAATATTTTTATTTTCAATTGGTTTTAAATTTTACATTCCATTTCCATCATTAATAAAAACATTTCTTATTYAWYRTACYTATTATTGTTTAATATGTATGTTAAAAATGTTCCCAATTTTTTTAATTTCTATTTTTTATATTTTATCTATTTTTTAATTTTATTATTATTTAATCTGACAGCATGGATTAACTCATTTGACCCAAAATGATTTAATTTCTTACCACCACCTAGATGAAAACACTATTTTTGCAAGGTAGATATTAAAAGTATAAGCTTTTATGTTATTGGAATTATTAATTTATTAAGTAAGGATTTAATTAATAAAACTTAATGATGAGAAGAAATAAAAATGGCTTAAATATATGATTCAATGAACACGAATGCAAGTTAATCACTTAAATGTTGGATTTAATGAGAGAGAATTGAATGTATTGAATATTTTTAAATTACCTCTTTTCAAATCATTTAATATCAAGAACCGATTACCCTATTTGTCCTCATTTTTTTATCAATAAATTTAAATATAGAGGTGTAAATTTTGTCCTTAGAAAATTCCAAAAATATTTTTGGGGCCATTTGTGCTTTTTAAAGTAGTATAGATATATTTGTATTTATAGGTGGTGTTTTGCATTGATGTTGTTTTCTAAGAAAATGGAGCCACATAGGCACTACATCAAAGAAAGCGGTGCTTCAAACAATGCTCTCTTGTTTGGTACCGTTTTTCTAGAAAAAAATGTTGCTCTAGACCATGCCTTGAAAATTGGAAAAGTGTGGTCTGGAGCAACCCCAAATTCAATATTTTTCTGAGAAAACAATGTATTGCTGCCAACGTTGCAGTGACATGGCATCAACATGGCATCATCTTGGACGTTAGAAAATATAGACCATGTTGAAAACATTACTACTAACAGTGGTATCAAACAAAAGCAGTGCTGTTTTATCAGAAAACAGTCTATGTAACAGCACCGTTTTTTGAGAAAACGGTGCTTACAACTCCACATGCTCAATACCATTTTTCTCAAAAAATGGTGGGATGTTCTGAGCACCGATGCCAAACACTTATATAATGTTTTGAAACAAAGTAAAAATTGAGAAGGTATTTGTCGCAAATAATAATTTAGGGGAATATAAACCATATTGAAAACGTTGCTGCTAACAATAATATATCAAACAAAATCAGTGCAACACTTATATAATGTTTCGCAACAAAGTAAAAATTGAGGAGGTATTTGTCGCAAATAATAGTTCAGGGGAATGTTTGTCATTGGCGCATAATAATCAAGGGGGTCTTTGCAATTTATCCCCTCTCTCTTTCTCTGAACCCTACCGGCCACACTGAGTGGTCGAATCATGAACCTCTCGCTTTCCCTCCTATCGCCTATATAAACACCACAAGGCTGACGGTTTTCTTATTTTCTTCTTCTCTGATATCAAATATAAGAGACGAACCGCGGGAAGAGTCCAGTCCTAGCTTGGTCTCTTCGCTGCTGTAGTGCTGCAGACGGTTTTCTTATTTTCTTCTTCTCTGATATCAAATATCAAATCCACGAGAAAGCTCTCTGCAGTAGCCAGTTTTAAATCTCTTACTCGCGGATCAAATGGCTCGTTCTCTCTCCAACGCAAAGCTTTTCTTTGCTCTCGTCGATGGCGTCTCAGTTGCTATTAGCAGGTAAGAAGATAAGGATTTCGGACTTTGGATTCTCTTGTACCTTGATCCCTGGATTTCTTAGACGGGAAACGTCGTCGTCCAAATCAATCTGTGTAATCCTTCTTGGTCGGTTGGGGGTTGGTTCGGTCTTAAAAGTCCCCTTCTTCCCCTGTGTCTAGGAGCAGAGAACTAAGAGCCATCCTTCTATAATTTCGATTGCTTTGTTGTTTCCAAATCAACGGCCAGATTTCTTGGTGTTAACCTGCGGTTGGAAAACGCGGCGAATCCTGTGGCCTTTTATTCAGGTTCCATTTTTGTCTGAGTGCTTGGTTAATGCATTTCCATTGATTTCTTTATTCTGAATTGAATGTGACAGGCGAGGTTATTCGGCGGCAGCCGCTGCGTCGTCTAGCGTGGTGAGAGGTGGGGCAAGGAGTGGAATTGGGAACCAAGGGATGGAGAAGGTAATGATGAAAGAAGAGTCGGCGGCTTCATCGTGGATACCGGATCCCATTACCGGCTACTACAGACCGGAAAATCATGGAGAAGAAATCGATGTGGCCGAGCTTCGACGGGTGCTCTTAAACCAAAAGATTAGGCCACAAAACTAAATGAAGAGAAGAGAGAAGCTTATTGTTCACTTGTTAGGAACATTTTTCTTTTCTTTTCTTTTCTTTCTAGCTTCTACCGGTCGAAGAGTGTAACCGGAGGTATTCCCTCCTTGCTTTTTCCTTTGATTTTAACCATAACCCTGTTCCATCCTGATTCCCGGCTTGGTTTAGATGTTAGAACAGAGTTCATCGATACGAAGGATTTTTATGTAAGCCTCTCCTACAGTCCTACCCATCTATCTAAATATGTAATGGAACAAGTTTGGCTATTTAAATTCTGATGGTTTCTTTCTAAGTTCTTTACTTGTGTTTTTTGTGGCTGCCTCTCTGGTAGTCTGTTCTCTGTAAAAAAAAATGAAAGGCTTCCTCCTGTTCATAGCAAATGCCGATTCGTGTTGGAATTTGAACATCCCAACGGCACAGGCGAGAGATGGAGGGAAACATTAGAGGAGAATGTTAGTTAGTGGCGGTGTAGAGCATGCGTCAGAGACAGAGAGTTCGTCCCTCTCTATATCTTTCTCAGTTTCTCTTTTCTTTTCCCTGGAGTTGGCACACATCTGGGACTCTATCATGAAAACTTCAGACACATGCCTGGTAAATGGTTTTTGGTTATGATTTATGAATTATGATGATGGGGTAAAGGGAACATGAAGACATTGAGAGAACTCAGAATGGGGTTGTGTGGTCACAGTTCATTATCATAGCATGAAGTCTACGGCGATTTCCTGTATTAGCATTTGCTTATAAAATTGAAAACCGACCTTCCAGTTCTAGTTGCTATCCTTTACTTGTAAAACTAAAAGTCTTCTGACTTCTGGGTAAGGATTATTAAGCGGTGGACTACTGTGGACGTGACATTGGTCATTAGGGAGACGCTTCCTCAACTTACTACTTTTCGAATAAAAACCCATCACCATAAGAGCCGAGTATATACCCTTAAAAATTAAATTAAGGGTAATTAAAATGACTTAAATATATCCTGATTTTTCATAAATTAGCTTGAAGATATTTTAAGTTTTTCAAATATACCTTGTGACTCAAGCATACCTTTGATTATCAATGAAATACTTGAATTAAAATTTTTAAATTTTATTTTGCCCTTTTGGACAAGAAACAAAAGAAACAGAAGTTTTCATACATAAAAGACAGTGGGAAAAATCTCCTTTTAGTATACAAAGAAGCTGACCTAGATTAATATTCATCAACATTCTATGACTTGGTTGCATCAAACCATCTAGCTGTTCAACTTTCTGGGTAGTACTGATGAAATAATTTTACCTGTAAATTTTCATTTCTGCTATCTAAGAAGTCTTCTTCTACTCTCATGGAAATTCTTTCAATCTTTTTTTTTTTAATTCAAGGAATTTTTAAATCTTTTACCCTAAAATTAAAAGATAAACTAATGACATGACCCATACGTAGTGTGCATGGAGGCACTGAGTCTATTGCTGAATATGCTTTGATCACTTTGATTTAGAAGTCTACAACTAACGTGGCAGCACATATTGATCCTGGAATTAACATTTCTGCACCTCTAATCCTCTATTTGCTATTAAATAAAACAATCCAGCGGCAAAAGAAACAATTGATGATTGATTCATAGGCCGTAGCGTGGAACTTACAATCTTACAATCTTAATCCTAATCAGTGCCACCACTTCTGGTTGTTGACCCTAAAACTTGAGAGCAATAATGATGGGGGTTTAAGGGTTAAATTAATACATTTCATTGCTTCAACTGATTAACTAATGAATGTTATATATGATTATATAGGCATCCCCAACTTGGGCTTCACGCTTTCAACTATTATTAGAGAATGAATACAGAGTACTTGATACTAGATAAGCTTCACCCATCTCCTCCTATTTCCTAATCTTACTTGATTATCACTTTTTTTTTTTTTATAATAGTCTTCTCAGTCGGTCCAATTGGTAAGGTTTTAAAAACTGGACAAGACACAAAACCATTTTAGGGACTGGCTCCTGGTCTAATCGTCTAGTTCGAACAGGTGGTCCATTTTAATTTAAAAAATTTTAAAATATTTAGAATAAAAAATAACCAAAAGCTATTGTCTGGATCAACGGGTTGACAGTTCGACTGCCTAAGTCAGTGGGTTGCTAACCAAATCAATGATTTTTGGTTCAAGAGTGGTTTTAGGATGAAATGAAACTGATTCCCGAGTCAACCAGTCCAAGAATCTAGTCCAATCTAGTTTTCAAAACCATGCTAATTGGACTTCTTCCTTGTTTGTTAAAAGGGTAAAATACAAAAACCTCCCCTAAAATTTCTGATAATCATAAAAAACTCCCCTATAGTTTCTACCCTTTTATAAATTGTTTTACATACAAAATTACTGAAATAACCCTATTTTAACTTGACAAAAATGTTATAAGATGACCATTAAAAGAGGTTTTTGTCAAGTTAAAACATGATTACTTCAGTAATTTAGTATGCAAAATAATTTATAAAAAGATAGAATGGGTATTTAGAAAAAAATTGGTGCATCAATCTTAACTGTTTCAGACTGAAAAGGTGATGAAAGGGAGGTTTTTATTGAATTCCTCTAAAATTCAGGAGAAATATTTGTTAAAATGAAATATAAGAGAGGTTTTTATGATTGTCAGAAACTTGGGGAAAGGTGTTTCTTGTATTTTAGCCTTATTAAAACGAAGAACCAAGCTAGCTAATGCCTAATTCAGCCACTATCGCCTCTGGCTTGCTTATTGTTTAGCAAAATCTTCAACTGGAAGAAAATAAAAACACTACTAAAACATATTTTAATATCACTAGAGTTACTACATCTGTTGCGTATATGGGCAGTTCACAGTTGTTTTTGCTTTCGAAAAGCAAAAATCATACACAAACATTTGACGTGGCGACTGGCGAAGGTGGTGGTGGTGTTGAATTTAAAAGACATTTAATTTATTTATGACATCGATCTCATAGGTCTTAGGATTCGTAAAAATATTAATTAAACAATTTATTTGGCCATAGAAGTTGGAGAATCAAGGTTGGTCATAGAAGAATACCAACAAATACAACCACTTGCCAATAAAGCACAAAAAAGAAACTGGGTCAGGTGTTTTACTTTTAGTTTATATTTTCTTAAAATTAATATAGTTGGGGCCCGGAAAGGAGGAGGAGGCCTCATATTTGAGGTATTTTATGCTTTTCAATACAATATCATATCGAAATTTTGAACCTTGATGTGTTTTACATGGTTTATAATTGATTCTTTTGCTAAATCCATCCAATTCAGAAGTTCACCGGGTCAAAATAGGGTGACTTTCAAGTTTCAAGAAAGAAAATACCTTCTCACAAAAGGTGGCGCTTCCTCTTCTTGTATGATTTGGTCGTGTCTGAAGCTATGAATCAACCAAGTCAAATAGTTTTTTAAATCTCAAACTGATTATTTTTATTGCTCTAGTGGCTGTTTGATAAGAGATCACATCAGCGCCCCACATGCACATCTCAGCGTCCATTGGAAACACCTCTCATATTTGTCATTGGGAAATGTTTCCAATACAGGAGACTTGGATCTCCTGTCCATGGAAACTCTACCCACAACACACTACCTCTATGCATTGGAAACATCTCCCCATGCATGATACTATGTAAGAGGATGAGATGTTCCCCATATGTGGCTGTGATATTATGTGGATAGATGTGGACAGAGTTCTTGTTGGCAGGAGATGTGGACTCCAATCAGGAGGTGTTGTGTGGGGCCCTAGTGTGGTGTGCTTTATGGGGCACAATGTGAACTCCTTTGATAAATGCTGGACAGAACAGAATGGCATGCCTTTTTAATAAACAAGGTATTATAGCAACATGGTCCCCGTTACCATGCTTCTCCTTGCTCTATTACCCCAGTCCTCCATTCTTCTTGACTCTCTCTCCTCTCCCCTTCCCACCACTCCTAATTTGCCATGTCATTACCCACTTACTCTCAATTCCATAATAATCGTGCTATACATGGAAAACGAGTGAATTCAAATTCGGAAACTACCGTAATTAAAAGGGATATCTTGGATTGATTTTCAACATTAAAAGCTGATGTAAAATGGCAATGGAGTTTAGCCAAGCGAAGAATTAACGTTAAAAGTTTGAAATTGCTATCGATTTGCTTCTCATCAGGTTTGTTTCTATGCCCTCCCAAAATGTCTCTCACTGGTTTTCTTTTTTCTGTTTGTTTTCTCACTGCAATCCTTTCCTCTTTCAATTTAACAGTTGCAGTCTCAGCCCGTTGGAGGTTGGTTATCTTCATTTCATTTCATTTTTATAATTTTTAGTTTGGTTTCCTCACATCTGTTTTTGAAGGTTGTTTGTTTAAGATTGTAAGTTTGCTGTCACCCTCTAGCATCTCATATTGTAGGTTTGTTTTCTTTATATTTTTTTCAGGTTCATTTGTAACTTATCAACGTCTTAGGAATTGTTCAACGCTATTTCAGGAGTGGGTGAAGACCTGAAATGCACTTCCATCATGATGAAGGGTGATTTGACCCGACTTCGTAATAGGGAGACACGTGAGCATGACTCGACATAGGTGACAATTCAACACAATCAGATCGACACGTAGACGTGACCCGACACGAGTGACAGATCAGCATGATCAATTCGCTACAGAGCAATCTTGGGTACCCTGTTACCCCGAATCGAAGCTACTTCGAGTTAAGATCACCTTGATACCAGATCGTGACCAGGATGGAGACCAAGTCCATTATACATCGAGCCCAGATAGATGAAACACCCCGGAAAGAGGCCACCTCGGGACAGGCCTACCTTGGTGCAAGATCACCTCGGTACTAAGGCACTTCGGCATTCGGAGCAGATCAGGTCTGTGGAACACGAGCTCAAACAGCTCGCCACCAAGCAGCCCGACACTTCACAGGCAGCTCACTACCTAGTCAGGTTGACCTCCATATGGCAATCTCAAAGATCTCACCACCAGACCCTGTGCTCTTCGAGATCACGCCTCGTAACTGCTAGCACTATCTCCCCATCCTATTCGGACGACAGTAATAAGCCTTATCGGCTAGCAACGTTATCTCCTGTTAATATGGAAACGGGCCTCATCATAGCAAGGATCCCGAAACCACTTCGAAAAACCCGCAATGACTCCAATATATAAAGACCCCAACCCTCCAGGGGCGAAGGTATGCGTAATCCCTGCTCTCTAGCTCTCTTGCTTTCTTAAGCTCTCGTCAACTCGCAACCAGATACTGACTTAAGCATCGGAGTGACCTCGTCGGGCAAGTCACCCCGGGTTCTTTGATTCTCCTTGTGCAGATTAATCAAGTCCG